GCAGTGTCAGGCTGGGATGTTTTGCCCCTCTCAGCCCAGTCAGCCCCCGCTCGGTGGGTGCAGTGGGTGCTGCTCGGGGGCTCCGTGGAGGCTGTTCCTGGGCCCCCCTCTGTGCCTGAGGGTCCACACTCCATGCTGGGTGGTCAAGAGCTGCAGGTTTAAGTCTGGATTAAGACATTTTGCTTCTCAAAGAGCCCTCCCTGGGCCCCAGGGGGACCCTTGAGGCCCAGCACTCTCCGTCCTGGTTCACAGGGGAGTCAAGGCATGGAAAGGGATTTGGGGTCTGAGTCTTGCCTTGCTGGGACATAAATGACCTCACATTTTCCTGTGCATCTTGAGCCTCCTTCAGAGGTGTTTTTTGGGAGATGAGCTTTAGGCACTGTGAATAGTTAAGCAGCAATATTCTGCAGCTCTTTTCCCCCTCATAGCAGTGACCAGCAGGGATTGCAAAGACCTTCCCACACCAGGACCTTCTCCATGGCACAGCTCTGTGTCCTAGAGGGGGGCACATCTGCTCAGCCTGTTTTCCATGTTGGATGCCCAAATCCAGGAGTTTCTAGCCAGGCAGCTGAGTGACCACCCTGATTCTCCAACAGAGATTTGGGCTCTGAAAATCAGGTACATTTTTTGGACCCCAAAGTTGAGGCTTTTGGCTTTGAGATGCTTGAACCAAATACCAACCCTCCAGTATTGATGCCACTTCATGTATGTCCTGTAAGAAACACAGGAAAACACAAAGGGTTGTTGCAGCTTCTGAGGAAAGCTCTTTTATTTCAAGTAAAATTGGAAAATTGGCAGTTTTTACGTGGCCGCTCTAATTCTTAAGCCATTAGAAATGTAAAAATTGATTTAACATTTATATTTAACAGACATCTGTAGAAAAATTTATATTCTGCATGGGCTATCAATGTCTTCAATATCTATGGAGTTAAAAACTCTTAGGTGAAGATTGCAAGAGGCTGAGAGGAAAATGGAATGTGGGAAGAGGGACATCCACGTGCTGCTGTAGCAGGGAATGCCAGGGAGGATAAAGCTCTGGGAAAACCCCCAGGAGAGCAACTGAGCATATTGGACCAGTGGGGTCAGCAAAGGTAGAGAGGAAGAGGTAGCAAACATTGGTTCCTTCCTGTTTTATAAAGATACTGAAGATAAAAAGCAGCATTTTAAAAAAATTCATATTCAGCTTCAGTGTTCATTTTATCCCAGTGTTTGGTTTTGCTTTATTTCAGTTGGTACCCCAAAAGTTCAAGGAATCCACCAACTTTAAAGCCAAATTGGGAAAACTGAGTCTGGATTCTCAGTGCAGCTCCAAGGCTTGCAAATCAGCCTTCTCCCAGAAATACTGCACTGTTTGGAAAAGGAGAGACAGGTCTTTAAATGAAATATGAGCTGTAGCACTGGGATGTGATGGTGCTGCTGGAGATCAACAGCCATCAATCTGTGTTACTTAATTTGTCCCTGGCTCAGCTGTTCACTGTACTTGGGACTTTTTTGCTTTGTTCCATTTTATTTTCCACTGAGATAAATGAAGACAAAAACAAGGGTCCAATTGTTCTTGACAAATAGAAGTAATTTTAAAAAATATATAACCATAAAAGATATTCTACATTTTCAAACCACTTTTTTTTTTTTGTTTCCTGACTTTCAGAGAATCGCAGTTTATTTATTTCACTGTGTGTCTATTGAACACCCTTTGATTTCATTGCTCCTTACTCCCATTTTCAGGTCAACTTCATGTGCACTCTTTCAATGCTGTGAAAAATTCACTTGCAATAAATGGTTGGGGTTTTTTAACTAAATATTTAGAATATTTAGAAAAATGTTTGCTTTATTTATCCTGGGTGTTCTGGGGACACGAGGCCATTGTGGCTCTCCAAGTGTCTGAGGAAGCCCATGTTGCAATTGTTTGGGTGGGTGGCTGCGTGTGAGCTCACTTCAAGCTCACTTGGCTTCTCAGGAGTTGAGGTTTTTTGATGTGTGTCAGCTCCTTTCTCTTCTGAAGGAATGTCTGTTGCAGGCATCTTGGGAATATTCATGGGATAGGGGATATAAATATATATAAAAATATATATATCAGGAGCCAGTGACTCCCCACACAGCTTCAGCAGCTTTAACATTCCACTGAGCAGAGGACTGGGATCAGTAGAGGGGTATCAGAGCCTGCCTGCCTTCCCTGGCCATCCCTCCTGGAGCACTGGGATGGTGGGATCAGGGCAGAGGGTTGAGCAGCCAAAGGCACAAAGTGGCTCTTCCAGACTTTCCTTGTTTACCGTGTTTTAGTGGAGAGGGTTCAGAGAAAGCTGCCCCGGGAGGATCTCTCAGCTTGCAGGAGGTTGTTTTCTCTTGAAATACTTCAGAGGCCCAGGATTTTGCTCTCAAATCCTGCCAACACCAACTTGCTTTTGGCAGGAAGCGCCGTTGGAACATCAGCCATCCCCTGTCCGGACTGGCAGGGCTTGGAAGAGCAGCTCAGGGCTTGGGCACTGGGAGGAACACGAGGGTTTCAGGGGGCCTGAGTTTGGATTAATAACTTCAAGGGCCAACTGTTCAAAGGGCTGCCTTCCAAATTTACACTGGTAGTTGAGTACAAGTACGAAATTATGGGCAGAAAATCACAGATAATCTTTTTCCAAGCTGACCTTCCTGAAAAGGAGCCAGCAGTTATCTGGCTTTGGGCACCAGTTCAGCAATGTTTTTAGGTGTTGTTAATGTAATATTTTCATTATATTTCTGCTGGACTATTGATTAACTATTCAATTATTTCAGAAAAGGAAATTCAGTGTGGTAGTGAATAATAGCTCTTTGGGTTGGTAGTTGTGCTTTGCACAAGGGCTGGTGGGGTTTGTGTAATGCTGACAAAATCCTGGGTCTGCATCTCTCTGTGTGTGTTGGTGTGGATCTCACAGAGTGGATGGCAAATGCCAGACATGTTTACACATTGTTGCTTCAGTATCTAATCACTTTTCAGTTTGTGATAAGCTGATTTTTAAAGCACCTGGAAGGACAGCCTGTGCTCTTCCCCTCTGGAAGATACTGAGACTTTGGGAACTTGTGTGTCCTAAATTCCACCTGAGGTTCCAAAGCCTGCTGCTGCTGGTGGCTGTGGCTGAAGGCTCAGTGCTGACCTCCAGAAAACACTGGATGCAGAATTCTCGTGGAATTTGAACCACCTCAGCCCAGCCCACTCTGCTAAACCAGCACCAGGGCTTAAATCTTTGCCACTGTGATTTAAACAGTCTCAGACACACAGACTCTTGTCTTGACAAACATATTTCATTAGCCATAACTAAAGGAATTGCCCAGATTCCTTGCCTAGTGACATGTCTCTGTGGTATTTTGACCCACTTTTCCTCTGAGGTCACTGAAGGAACAATCCTGAGCTTCCAAAAATAACATTTGATAGGTCGAGGAGCTCTGACTTAATTATTTATTCCTGCTTTGCTCTAACCAAGCTCCCAGTGACTCCAGAAATCAGCTGGTGAGGGTGTTACCACCAAAGCAGATCTTCAGGCTCCATAAGTTCTCCGTGGCACTGTAACAGTGTTCACTGCACCAATTGCAGCTCCCACTGGGGTATTTTACAGCTCAGAAATTTGAAGAGATTGGGATGTTCAGATCCCACTGAAATCAACCCCCCACCCAGTTATGGAAAACTGAACAACTGTGGTTCAAAGAATGTGAGGGGGGGTCATGAGGTCACTGCAGCAGTTGGGACCCTGGTGTGCTTTAAAGAAAAACCTTCTAAAATGACATCTTGGGAAATGGAATTGGTTCCTTCCTTGGTGCTGACCAGCTCCTGCTTAGGGAATGATGTAGCAGAGGTGGTGATTGCTGAGACTGAGCAAACAGGACTCAGGGTGCAGCTCTTTGTACCTGATGTCTGCCCTCTAAACTGTGCAAACCTCTGAATTTTGCTTTTATTCTTTCATTTCCCAAGCCATGTTAATGACATGTTAATTCTTGTCTTCCCTCTCCCTCATTAATTGTGTGAGATGCCAGTGGAGGGAACCCAGAGCACAGTCTGGTGTTTCTGCTCCTTCTTCCATCCCTTGGATTTCTCTGTGCTCGGATGATAAGAATCACATTGTCAGTGTTTTTGTATTCTGTACCTGAGCCTTCCTGGAAGTGTTTATCTGTTTAAAACAGCTTTAAATTTTCATTAAAAAACAAACAAAACCGCAGCCTGTCATTGGCAATATTTCTGTTGGTCACGACAACAACTTTTAGAGGTGACTGGTGAGGTTGAATGGATTTGTTCTTGACTGCCCAGAGTAAAACAAGCTCTTCTTAGCAGGTATCCCAAGCTCTGCTTTTCTTTTTTTTCAGCCCTTTCGTGGTATCTCAAGTTATTAATCCTAAATGGAGGCATCCAAAAAACCCCAATGAGTTTTGAAACTCGTGGCCTCATTTAGCTTTCATAACAGCTTGTTTCGAGCAAAACCTGCTGTGGAGCCAAATGAAGTGTGTGTTTAAATGATCCCTTGCCTAAACTATCATGAAAATTTCAGATGGGATGAGAAGGAGGGATAGCACCAAGGGCAGCTTTGTTGGAAGCTTGCTGCTACTTAGAGACTGAAATCCTGGAATCAGCAAATCCTCCGTCGCTTTAATGCTTCTCCAGTGAAATCCAACTTTTTGTTTCCTGGCTTAACTATTCTCTTGCATTTTCCTCCATTGCTCACACCCAAATACTAGCACCCATTTTAATTTTTGTTGGGATGTTAACACAAGGAAAGGTCCTTATGTAAACAAACTGTTGTGGGAAATGATAAGGAAACAAATTTCTGGAGGCTGGGAGGGTGTAAAAGGGATGTTTGTTCTTAAATCCTTTCCTGGTCACTTTGCCTGGAAGCAGGATATTGGTATTGGGTGTGATATGGCACAATTACATTGGGATATCTAATTATTTACCATGATTTCTCTCCTTTCTGCCTTGATTTGTTCCCACTCCCCCAAACACGCTCCCTCTGACCAGTGTTTTCCTAATTCATGCTTCCCAGGGCCAAGCAGCATCCAGGAGCTTTCCCCTGCTATCCTGGGAATGTGCTGGGTGTCTCCATGGGCTGGGAGGAGTAAAAACAGGATCCACTGGGAATTTTTAGCACTTTGAGGTAAGACTTTTAACACGCCATCACTTGGAAACTGGTGGGAAAAATTCTGGCAAGGTTAATTGGCTGCATGGACATTTAAACATCTTCAAAAGCACACCAGGATTTAAGAATGTTGCCTGCTAGGGAAAGCCACTTCTGTAAATGTTTTCCCTGTTTACAGCTGGACATCAAATTAGGGTTTTCTGCCTGGCTTAGAGCACAATTCACCCCAAATTGAGAGAAAAGCTTTCAATTTAGAACTCTGTCATAGACTGGAAACTCTGTTTGAATTTCATGTCAAAGTCACATTATGAAATATTTTATGACAGAGATGTCAAAGTGAAATGTTTCACCACCTCTGGCCCTGAACAGGAAAGTCTCTAATGGTCATTTTTAGTTGGATTTTCCAGCCTGTCAGCCAGGGAAGCAGAGGAGAAATTCAACCTGTGGTTTTGGTTTGCTTTTTCTCCCCTCAGCCACTTAAAGTGCATAAGAATGTGACCAAAACCAGGTCCTCAACACCCAGAAAAAGCTTTATAGGTTATTTATTTCACCCAGCAAGGATTCTTTGAGGTCTTATTTTCTTTGCACATGGGCCACATAGTTGTCTAATTTAAAGGATCATCTGCATCTCCTGGTGTCTTTGCAAACCCCAGCACAGTTTCCTCAACAAAAGTGTTTGTAAAGTGACTCCATAGACAAATAAATTAATGATTTGCCACCTACAAGATTTTCTATAGTTAAGATTTGAGGCTTTTTTTCTGTGATGGAACCAGTGACCTGTATCAGTATTGGAAGTGAAATACTGACATTTATTCAGAAAGGAGCCAGGTATGAGAAAATGGCCTTAATGAGCACCAGATACCTGATGAGTTCTAATTAACAGCGAGTGAGACACTTGTGAAAGAACACCAGGTTGTATTTTGCATTGAAAGAGTCTCTTTCTTGCTAAATTGTACCTAAATTGACTCCTTTCACTCCTGAAAAGAAAAATCAACCCTGGAGAGACATGAAGTCAGAGTCCAGGTGGGGATTACACAGAGGACCTTTGTGTCAATTATGCTGATTGCCTGTCCTGGGAGAGGGGCAGGCCCTGGAAATATGGATATAATTTGGCTGTATCTTTAATGACATTCCAGGAATTGTCCCCCTGGAAGGCTGGTTGATGCTCCTCTTTGGAGAACATGACCCAGGGCAGGAACTGAATGTGTGCTATGGTGAGCAAGGCAAGCTGCAAACCCACTATTAGGTGTCATTACTGGGCTCTTTTTTGATGTTGGTTTTTAATAAATGTGCTCCTATTTTTAGAGTTTTATTCTGACTCTTGTAATAGCAACCATTCCATTTTGGTGTGAAGGTTTTTCTATTAACGGTGATCAAAGTGAAATATTTCATCTGAGGTACAAAAAGAGACACTTGAGATGAATGAGGTTCTGCTGAATTTGGGGAGTTGGATGGTTCTGATCTATGATCTGACTTACAAATTTAGGAAATTACTGGCACAAAGCAACTCCATTACAAACAAATAATAAAATGGCATTAGCATTAAAAGTTTAGAAAACAATCTAGAACCTCTTTCAAATACATTGCAAAAAATATGCCAGGTGCTATTAAGGCTTATAAATAATTCTGTGGTGTTTGTTTGATTTAAAAACTAAACTGACACATCATTTTCTTAAGAACAAATTGAGGTCTCTGAGAACTACAGAATTCAAATATGTGGCTGCTTTAGTGAAATGTGAGAGGTCTCATTCTCTTCAGAGTGAGGCAGCAGGACTCTATTCTCATTTATTTGTATTTTTTTAAGGAGTACTTTAATATAAAGGTTATATAAAATTGAATATAAAAAGCCAGTAATTTCCAGCAGGAATGGATGGTCTTAAGAGCATCTTTCTCAGCATCCAGTGCATTATAAGCAAATCTTTCTGGAAAGTTTGCTTTCTCCTGGACTCAAGGGCACTACCTTCAATTGCTACTGAAGGAGAAGAAATTAGAGTGGGGGAGAAGTTTGATTTCTACTTGGAATTAATTATTATTTACCTTTCAGTTGCTGATAACTGATGGAAGGCGACGAGTGGGTGATAAATTCCCTGTTCCCAGGCAGGTTGTCTTTCCTCCTGTAATTAATTCAGCCCCAACCCAAACTGCTGAGGCTCTCAAGGAGTTAAGGTGAGCACAGAACTGAGTTTTGATTTAACTCCCCCCCTCTGAAGGTTTGCTTTTGCTTCAGCAGGGTTGTCTTGAAGTGAACTCTTCACTCCCCCATTTACTCAGTCCTGGCTGTCCCAAAGCCGTGGAGAAGGAAGAAAGGGGTTCAGTTCAAACCTATAAATACAGTGCTCAGGAAAACCTGTCCCCTGCACTTTGGCATGACTCAAATGGTGGCAGTGGGATAGTTAAAGGCATCTTTGGATGATATTTGTGTTAAAGGGTTGTCTCTGAGCTTGAGGAGCCTCATCCTTGGGTGGTTCATGTCCATTGATCCCTGTTTTGCTCAGAGAAAGTCCAGTTCTGCTCTCCAACAAGCTCCAAGTGTTTGAACATTGGGTTTGGTGGATTTGTGTCCCATGGGCACTTCAGGACACTTTTTCTCCATGGAGAAGCAGTTCCTAGGGCAAAGGGGGGGAATGGCTTTTCCATAAACACCCCCTTGCCTCGTCAGCCCTCTGGATTTCCAGAGGGAGCTTTTGCATTGTTCCAGTGGGGCTTTGGGACAGCCCTCAGGTAAAGAATGGGCACTGCTGGACTTAAATCCACTTCCTGAGGAACATTAACATTAAATCATGTTAATTAACATTAATATGACTTACATGGCTTAAGACCTATCTCTGGGTTTAGCAGAGCTCGAGGAATAATTTAAAGGATGAACTATTGCTCCCACTGGGATTTTGACTCCAAATTCACAACGGGTGTCCTTGAAGTGGCTAAGAAGGCTTTGAGTCAGGAGGTAATTTCAGAGCAGCTTTCCTGGCTCTTCATTCTGCTTTGTGATGGGCTCTTTATGCTGGGCTGTATATCAGTGCCCTGCAGAGCAAACCTCTTCACATCCCTGGGCTGCTCAGGACCACGAGGCAATGAGCCATGTGTTTTTTTGATGATCATATGAACATTCAGACTATTTTTAGGGCAATCTCCTTGCCAGGAATAATTTCTAGGACTTCTGATTTGAATGGTGAATTATGTGTCCACCTTAAATGCCTGAAGTGGATATTTAAAAATACTTTTTCCTGACTGAATGTTTTACAGATTAACACCTCTGATGCTGTTACATTTAAAAGCAACTCTGTATTTCCTATGATGATGATGATGATGGAGCCATGATGTATTTCCTATGTATTTTGTATTTTTTCACTGAAGTCATTGGGGACTTCTGGGCAAACAACACAACTTTGGTTTCAAAGCCCCAAGCAGGTGTGAGTCAGTACATTTACCAGATGAACAGTAAGATGATGAAGAGACCACACCTAATGAATTTGATACAATGTCTTTTCAGCTTCAATGCAAATATTTTTAATTCATGTTCAGTGTTCTGCATAATGGGCCCCAATGCATTTTAAGTGATTCCCCATCTAAGACCTGAAAAGTGCATTGATTTTCCTTCCTTCACGCAATAATCATTTCTCAGCCCCAGCCTGTTCTATTGACACCTGTAAACCCCATTTAAATAAATCAAAGGGGGCATTTGGGTGTTCTTCCACTTGCCTATAGCTCGATGGAAGAACAGATTGTTTTATACCTCAGTGATTTATTTGTCAGCACAGACAGCCAGTCATAAAAACAATCAGTATCAGAAATGTTCTTTGGAGGAATCATTGGGGCTGTCAATACCTTGAGTAGCTTGATCATCTAATTCTTTGGGTTTATTAGGTTGAAATGTATAAATTCCTTTTAGAATGGATTTGAACTTTTTAAAAATTATATTTTTTAGTTGATTGCTCTTTCGAGTGTTTTGGTTTGTGAATAACTCCCCAGGATTTGGGTTTGTACAAAAGTAAGAAGGAGAAGGCTGAGAAGGATGTTGTCTTCAAAATTGGCTTTAATGGCTCTACTTTCTTTTTTTCCATCTAGATACAACAATGGTGGCACTTACACTGTTCCAGTGGATTCTAAAAGGGCTTATCTTGACTTTTCTGCTGGAAACTACTCTGTCCCTAAATCCAGATGATCCAAATGTTTGTAGTCATTGGGAAAGGTAAGGTGTCACCTGCCAATTTTTAATTTTTTTTGCTGACCATTTCAAAGGCAAACTGAGAGCCACACTTTGCTAAATACCACCTTGTCTCAGAAAAAAACATGGGTTTGCTCTACAGGAATTGTACTTTTGAGTGCCTTGGAGGTTTTGGAGCATCCCAAAGAACTGTTCTAAAGCTACAGCTACAGAACATGGATCCCTGTGTTGTGTCCTTTGGGAAGCTCCTCCAGAGTTTGAGCTGGAGAATTGTTTGCATTTATCATGGAGAGACCTACAGAAATGCTGGCCTTGTGCTGTCCTGCTTCTGTCTGGTTGTTGTTGAGCAAAACTTGTTGATCTGGACTAAGTTTGAAGCCCTTCCTGCTGCAACACTGGGGCTGTTTCTGCATGGCCTGAACTTTGTGGCCCTGCCTTCCAAATCCGTGTCAGCATCAAAAAATGCATGGAAGGCCTGAGCATGAAAGGCCCTTACAGGTAATTCTTGTTCTCTCCATTGTTCCAGTGTCCTAAAAGTGGCTCTGAGCAGGACAGTTCTGTGAGCACAGAGAGACCCCCAAGCTGTGCTGGGGTTCACCTTCATGCAGGGGCTCTTTGCAGAGGCCAGAGGTCCTGCACTTGTTTAACTTGCTAAATTTCCACTTCTATTAATCCCACACTGCTGTACACTTCAGCAAAATAAACCCCTTCACAAGAGCAGAAATAGAATCATATTTTAATGACACTGGGTTTTGAGGCCTTAATTAGGGAATTAACTGTTTGTAGGTAATGCAAGTGCAAAGGAAAGGCTGGGCAGGAGAAGGGATTTGCAGTCTGGGTGGGGAGGTGAAGTGCATGCAGAGCACAGGAATAAAATATTGATTTTGTCTGAAGAAAGTCAGCAACCTCGAGACCCAATCAAGGAGAAACAAAAATTAAATACAAAAATTGATTGGTTGTACTGACCAAGATGACTTTGTTAGTTAGATGTTAATAAATCAAAGGGAAAAAGATTGTTAGGGCTGTTGCTGGATAATAAATGGGATTGTGAAATAATAATCAAGGTTTGTGAGTGTTTTACATTAATAAGGAGCAATGTAAATATTTTACTTTTTGGTATTAAAGAAATAAAAACATTGTTGTCAAACCTGTGATAGAGGGCAAAGGAACATCTGGGGTTGGCTTGTCTAGAGGGGACAAGACAAGCAGGGCAGGAACAGCCCAATCTTCGATTTCAAGCCAATCAGACTCTCCAAGCAAATGTTTTGGGTGCAGCCTCTCAGGGTTTAACCACATCAGCAGAGGAGAAGGAAATCACTTGGAGGATGAAGACAATCAATGTAATGAGTGACCCAGAGGATCTAATTCCTGGGTCCTGGCCCTGCCTGGCAGGATTTCAGTGTGGATTGGAGCCCTGATAAAGTGGGGCTTGTTTGTAGGTCAGCCCCTGGCACTGCCAGTATAATCACAGGACTTAGCATGGCTGACTGGTGTTTTGGGGTGGAGATTGCTGAATTCTTAGTGTTGTTGGAGCTCTCATTTCCAGTCAAATTGCCCAGTTTTCCTCCATATCCCTTCATTTGCACAAGGGGAGGTGATCCCATTCCAACCCTCTGTCCCAGTGTTCCAAATCTAAACACCACTTACCTCTCGTGGCAGTTTGCAGGTAATTCTGAGATTATTTCTGCTACAAATTAAGAGGCTTAAATTTGTGCAGCACAAAAATAAACACTCTTCTACTTTTTGCTGATCATTTTATTTGCTTGGTGAACCCAGTATTTGAAGTAATGGTGCTGCTTCATCACAATATGAAGTGGGAGCAACCCATCCTGCTGGCAGAGTGCTGAGGGAGTGTGAGCCCTTATTGCTGTGGGGAACACAAGTAAAAATTAACTTCCAGGCAGGAAGGCAACTGAGACATTCTAAAAACATGGTGGCTTCCTCTCTTTGAAAATTTGCACTAATAGATTAACCAAATGCACATTTCACTTTCTAAACCTCCATGAATTTTAGTACCATTTGTTTCTTTTCCAAAAGGGGAAAAGAAACTGGTTTCATTGCTCATATTGATACCAGTTTCCACTTCCAAACTTTTCAGGAAGAGTTGTAGTTGAAGGAAGCCCTTTTGTGCTCTTTGATAATGACCAAAGTTTCTAAGATTATTGATGTAATTATTTTTCCCCCTGAACCTTGGTGAGCAGCATATCCAGGGCACTGAAACTTTCTTTCTGTGTCCTTTTCCAGCTATGCTGTGACAGTGCAGGAATCTTATGCTCACCCCTTTGATCAGATCTATTACACACGATGCACAGACATCCTCAACTGGTTCAAGTGCACCAGACACAGGTAAGAGCTGATCCCCAGAAACTCAGACATTGGAGAGTCATTTTGCCCCTTTTTATCTCCTCACATCCCTCTTATTTATCCAAATGTTTGTGGTACTCTACTCCATATGTACAGAAAGATGGGGTTCAGTGCAGGGTGTTTAGAATTCCAGAGAGATTTGTGCATGAAATTTGGGTGAAATCAGTGGTAGTCAGTCCCTCCTGGGGCCACCCAGGAGTATTTCTCCTTGCCACTGGCCCTGCCAAGGGATTGGAAGTGTTTATCACCTGACCAAACTCTCTTTTCCAAGTGGTCAGTGCTTGTCCAGGTTTATGGGGGGAATTTCACTGCACCTCCTAAACTGTGAAGGATCAGGCATTTGAGGATTAGTGGTAATTAAAAAGGGATCCACATCTGAAATCCTGCACCCAAATCTGCACTGAAAATCAGCTAAAATGAGGATGGATCCATTTCTAGCACTGGCTGAAGAATGATACCAAAGAGTTATTTTTTTCTGAGGCTGCAGGATATCAGTGTTACATCCATTCTGGTTCCAAAGTATCCTGATAAACATGCACTAATATTTCTAGGGAGTTTTGGAAGCCAGTTGGTCTCTTAACTTTCATGCATTCAGTTGCAAATGGGCTCTTCAGCACCTTCCCACTGACTTTGGGGTTGGAGCTTCTGTGTTACAGTGTTTAGAACTGAACAAGGCTGCAGAACTTTCTGGGGCATTGTGTAGATTGGAATGCAGCAGAGTGAATTCCATCAGTTTATCTAACACGGGGGACAATAGGCTTTGTTCAATTTAGGTAATTTCCATAAACTAACAGGAGCAAAGCTGTTTTGAAATGTTTGCTGTAAATTTTGCAGTTTAAATATAACTTTTGTAATGCAGGATCACTGCTAATGCTGTGAATCAGCGTGGAAAAGCTACAGAATGCTTCACACCTTTTAATTCCTGGGGACTGCAGCATTGTGGGGAGGAAAAGGAGCTTTAAATACTGAACTAGGACTATAATGTCACTTTACAAGGCCCGAGTTCCTTGGAAGGGTTGGCAAGCAGGAACAAATCACTTGGGGTTAACTTGCCAAGGTGTGTCCTGAGAGCAGTTCCCACCGTGGTGATTTTGTTGTAGCAGCTGCCACAGTGGTCTCTGCTGGAGATCCCGTTCATTCCATCGATGAGAGCTGACCTGGCTGATGTGCAGAAATAAATCATTTATTCTCCAAGAAGCTCCTTGCCCTTGCAGTAGGACTGGGGAAATGTTTTAAGGAAGCAGCAGCCCTAGGAAGGGCTCCAGTGACTGAGTGTCACGAGCCCCGTGTTCATAACACAAGTTATATTTCAAGTTTCCAAACAAGCATCGATTCCTTTCTTTATCGTGGCTTTTAATATCAAAAACCTTGGCGCGTTAAAAAATAATTATCGAATGCTCTCCTTACCATAATTTAACACAAATATCATTGTGAGGGGAGGCATCGATTTGCAGTGGTGTCAGATGGCTTTGTGTCCTGTGATTTAGGATCAGTTACAAAACCGCCTATCGGAGGGGGCTGAGGACGATGTACCGGCGGAGATCCCAGTGCTGCCCGGGCTACTACGAGAGCGGAGACTACTGCATCCGTACGTACAGAGAGCCTGGGGGCACAGCCACGGGCACCTGGGGGGCTGGGGGCAAATTGAGGGGGTATTGCTGCCATCCTGGCCTGCAGCAGCAACAGTGTGGCAGCAGGAGCAGGGAGGTGATTCTGCCCCTGGACTCCGTGCTGGTGAGGCCACCCCTGGAGTGCTGTGCCCAGTTGTGGGCCCTCAGCTCAGGAAGGGCATGGAGGGGCTGGAGCAGGTCCAAAGGGCAACAGAGTTGGTGAAGGGACTGGAGCACAAGTCCTATGAGAGGCTGAGGGAGCTGGGGGGGCTCAACCTGGAGAGGAGGAGGCTCAGGGGAGACCTCATCACTCTACAACTCCTTGACAGGAGGTTGGAACCAAGTGGGGGTCAGTCTCTGCTCCCAGGAACCAGCAATAGGACACAAGGGCATGGTCTTGAGATGTGCCAGGGCAGGTTTAAGTTGGACATCAGGAAGAAATTGTTTACAGAGAGAGTGATCAGCCATTGGAATGGGCTGCCCAGGGAGATGTTGGAGTCACTGTCCCTGGAGGTGTTTAAGGACAGAATGGATGAGGCATCAGTGCCATGGACTGGGTGACAAGGTGGGGTTGGGTCAAAGGTTGGACTTGATGACCTCAGAGGTCTTTTCCAGCCCAGTTGATTCTGTGACTCTGTTAGGGGCTGATTTTCAGACCCTCCGGGTCCCCCTGGTTTCAGTCAGAATTGCAGATCCCCAACGTTCCAGGTCATCTCAGGTACATGCATTTGAAGTGCCTCAGTAAGATTTTGCTGAAATCATTGGGGAGGGAGTTAATGAAGTTCCTCAGTGCTTTCCTGAACCTGAGCTTGCTTTGGGGAGTAATTAATGCAAGCATTCACTAATGTTAAATTAGGGGAACTGAGAACACTGAGGAATAAACCATGGCACAGTTTAAGCAGCAGCAGGGTAAAGTTTCTGCCTCTTACCTTTGAAACTTCTTACCCAGGTAAGAACAGTTAAAATCTCACTGGTTTTCCATGGTTCCTGTCAATAATTTAACTTTTTAAAGCTTCTCAAACCTCTGAAGATCTTTGTCCCAACTACCCTGTGTGAGTTAAATAAAAAGCTCTGGAGTGTGTTAGGCCAGTTCGAGGGAGACAAAAATCCAAATGGACCTTTCAGCAATTAGTCTGTTAGTTAAAAATGTCACATGTTTTCAGTATTGCAGCTTTCTGAGTGTTCTGCATGTGCCACACTTTGCTTAAAAAGAGAGTGGAGCTGGGATTTCTTGTCCAGATCTTGTGTTGTGGGATTATAACACAAGAAAAACACAAAGGGGTTCTGATCAGCATCAGAATCCAATTTTTATTGGCAGATTAAGAATGCCATGGAATAATTTAAATATGAAAATGATACAACTATCCAGCTATGTTTAAATATCTTGACCTTGTGCTTTGCAGCTGCTTCTTTCTATATCCGTTGATGTTTTTATCTGAGTTCCTGTGTTGGATTTACATTGTAATATATGAGCAGCTCAAAAACATGGATGGACCCTGATCTCATTTTAAATGACCTTTATGCCAAACAGTTACATTAAAGGGGCTTTGGACTGTGAAAAATCACCAGCCTTTTGAGATAAGGCACTGGAATTATTTTACAGAAAGAGTAATAATTTGCTCTTTTGAAGTGCAAAGTGCTGTTACTCAAGTCCTGAAAAACATCTGTAGTAACCCATTGTCTTTGGTGAAATCCTCCCTGTGTTAAGTGTGTACTTACCTCTAAATTCTTAGGTGTCAATACCATTTCAGCAGTTGTTCCACGTACTTTTATTAATAACAGTCTAGAATTCCGTGACTCAGAATCCTGTCTGGCACAGAGCATATTTATTATGACTTTTCTCTCTGCCATCTATTGATTTCTATTTTTTTTTTTTATTTTTTAATTGCCATACTACTTGCAACAATAAATCACTGCAGAGGTTTGTTACTTGAGGATTCTGATTATTTGAGGGCATTAATGTTTATTTTAAAGTAGTTTTTTTTTTTACTGTTGGTATTAATACTCAATGTTCTGCTGCTGCCAGGTAAATTTTGTCTTTCTGTGGTGGAGAAAGAGCAGCAGACACCAAAGTTTTGCTAATGCAGAGCAGGCAGGAGGTATCTGGGCAGAGCAGGAGCTTCATGTTTGACACAGAGCAGATAATAGTGACATTTTCTCTGCTGTTTACATGTGCACCACTCGGGGCCTTGTGTTTCATTATCTGCATGGTCAGCACAGCACAATTCCTGCCCCAGGGACATCCTCTATCTCTCCTGCCTGCAGATGGGAGCAGCAAGTGCAGCTGAGGGAGAAATGGTGTCAGGGGAGAAGTTCTCCATCGTGATGGATCCCAGAGATTTGGTCTCATTGTTTTGATACCACAGAGCAAAAAAAACTCACCCAAACCAAACAGAAAACCTCCTTGAAACTCTCTGACCCCACAAGCAACAGTTTGGAGGCACAGCAATATTTAGCTGATGGGATCCTTTTTGTGTCACCCCATTTGTTTGGAACACACAGAGCCCTGATCCCATTTGTTTTGTTTTGTTTTGTTTTGCCACAATACATTCCTGTGCCAACAAGCAAATTCTCTCATTCATCATTCTTTGCAGTCTGCACTGAATTCCATTTTCATTCCTGGAGGCACCTCCCTGCTTTTGCCTTTTTCCTTCCCTTTCCCAATTCTTTTCTTTACTCCGGTATTTTCTGCTGTTTCCTTGTTCTCCCATCCCACGTTCCTCCAGACACATTCAGTGCTGCTCCTTTACTTCCAGAGGAGTCAGGACACAGAATTGCACTTTGCTGTGCTGTCCCTGGCAGGAAGGGAGGGAAGGGAAGCTCCAGCCCTGCAGAGGAGGTTCTCCCCATCAGGCAGCCCTTTAAAATCTCTTCCATTAGCAACCTCGGAAGCCACGACAACATGGGGAGGAGGGAAACATCCTGCAGTGAGCCTGATGATCAAAAGAAAGTTTGATTAAAAAACAGTGTGTAGATTAAAGGCTAATTGGTTCTTCTTTCATTAATAGCAGTCTTTATTTCTTGCAAAAGTTAAATAGCTTTGTAATTAACAGTGACATGTTTAGACTAGAGAAGGCTGAGTTTAAATCTCTATTAATGACTGTTTCTTGGGTGTTAAAGCAGGAGTGAAGGCTTTCAGCTACTGTTTTGATCTTTTCCCTTCTCATTTACTCATTTTTAAAGGAATGTCAGATATATGGCTTTATCTTTGTCCTCCTGTTGGGACTTACCAAATGGATTAGGTCTAATAAAATCTATGCTCAGCTCTAAATAACCAAGTTGACCCAGAGCTTCTTTCTCTGCCACTTCTCTGCTGTCTCCTTTGCCTTTTTGAGATCTGTGTATTCTGCTGCCCCATAAAATGTGGAATTCAGGCCCAAAGTCCAATAATTTCAGTTGGCCAGCCCTTTAGCACTGAGGCTAAACAGTTTTGGGGCATGAAATCGTGCCTCCAAAGGGCTTGGAATATTTTTGAGTTGCAATGGTATTGAAAAAAACCCCACCTGAAAAATGCTGCAAATGCACATCTGCATTTTCCCCCTCCCCTGATCTCTTAGAAAAGGTTGTTGCCACAGTGGGAGCTTTGCAAAACGATTCCCCTTCTCTGAATGTTCTTAGACTTGACAGAGCTTTTCCCTGAGCTGTCCCTGCAAACAAACAGCCCAGTGTGGGCAGTAAATCAGAGCAGGGATGATTTACTGTACTTTGTATGCTAAGGTAAGCTTTTGGCAGAGCAAATGCATAAACTGCAGAAAATCTTTTTTTAAACAACCACAGGGTTCAAGTGCCCTTCAAGGTTTTTCGTAAGGATGTTTTAAAATTATATTGCCTAGATTAGTATCTGTGGTAGATAAAACATCTCTGAATACTGTGCTGCTCAGAAAAAAAAAAAAAGGAATATTCCATGGCTTTTCCATGCTTTTTACCCTGTGAGGAGATGGTAATTGAATAGTTGCCTTTAAGAATATGTCAGGTGGAAAGATGCCCTGTGTGCTAAGTGGAGGCATCTTTGTCTGAGAGACCAAAGCTTTGTTCAGTCTGTCCATTTTCATCTTATTCTTGCACAACAGATTTGTACAGAAGGGATGTTTCTTCTGGACAACAAAGGGTCAGAGACCTGAGCATCAGCTGGGGCTGCAAACAGCAGCTCCTGACAGCTGACCTGGGGCAGAAAAACCCAGCCACAAAACACAAACTTGGGCTATTTGAGCTTTTAAGTGGTTTTTTTTCACTCTCCTACCTTACACTCTTTTTCTAATGTCTAAATCTATGCAATGTGACAGGATGCAATAATGACAGGATTAGTGATTTAACAATCTGATTTGCTGCCATTTGTCTGTCATTCAAACCTGCCAAAATCCAGTAGAGTTATGGATTGACCATTTCATGGTTCTTTCCTCTCTTGGCCAAGTTGTTATTGATCTCAGACTGTTTCTCAGCACTCAGCTTTCCACATCACAGTTACCACAAGCACCAGCAGGGCCCCTTGACTTTGACAAATCCTTCTGCAGAGGTTGGTCCCACTGGTTGAATCTGTGTGTCACCCACAGAGGTGTTTCACTCAGGCCAGGGGTTGGGGGCATTATTATGTGTGTATATATTAATTATGTTTGGATTTATTAATTATGTTTGTATATATTTATTATGTTTGGATATATTTATTTTCCCATTTTTTAGGCTCACCTTTAATGAATTTCAAAACCAAATGAGGAATGTGCTTTTAGTAGCTGACTGGAGGGAATTATGCAAATCTGGGACCGGATTGTTTTCAGGATTTTAAATAATGTTTCCTAAATTCTGTAATTCCAATAGCCATGCCAACTTCCCAGCGTGATGGATCCTTTTATAGTGCAGCCATATGAACATTCCTACCTCAGGACTGCACTCCCATTTACAGGGCTGTGTGTCTAGTGGAGTTTTTGCAGTCTTTGACAAGGCTGCCTTATTGGAGCCATATGGCTGGATTGTTAAACATCTG